ACGAGGTTAAGGACACGATAAATTGCAGACACCTATTATAGCCACGTGACTTTTATCCCTTTGACAAAAATTTGTAACCATCTACCGATGGTTTTTTTTTTATTAAAATTCTTTACTGCTAGGATTTATTTTATGTAATCAATAGTCGAATCAACGTTAAAAAAAAATACATATTTTACATTAAAGGAAATAATTATTTAAAACAATTACGAATGACGCTATCAATCATGTCAATTAAAATTAATTATAGTATATTTCCTTCGACCAATAAATTTTTTCGAAGGTCTTTTCTTTGTTCAGAGTAAAAGACTCAGCGCATTTAAACTGTGGCAAGTTTCTTCGAATTCTAACAAATATAACTATTCTACATAATTTTACAGTTTTTCATTAGATCAATTTCAAAATTAAGAACCAGAAAATTGATCTTAACTTTAACTTTTTTTATGTTAACAAGATTAATTAATTCGCTGATAAATTTCTTTTTTATATATTGGGTTGTCCGAAAAATTTGTGCCGATTTTGAAGGAAAATTGAAACGCAGAAGATTTAAATTTTTAATTTCATTTATTAAATTTAAATCTTTTGCGACACGAACTTTCCGGACAACCCAATATTAATTCAATTCCAACGTGTTCTTCGAATCGCTTTTGCATCAACAATAACTTTTTTTATTAATAACGCCAGTTAACAGGCTTACCTCTTAGCTCGGCGAACCTTCTATCTCATTAGCTGGAACGAATGCAACTCGTGACCCACATGCAATCGGCAATTTAAAAACCTCAACACAATGCACTATATAAAAACCAATGTACTCTCTTTTCTTTTATTTCAAACACGCATCTATCGTAATTTTTCTCGGCGCCACATCCAGCTGCACTAGAAACAACACAACACACGCAAGACGCACATAGACGCAAATGGACAAAAATATCGAGGACAATCTCTATAAATTAAAGGGGCACAGAACAACAGTTCTTGTCGACTATCACAGTGCAATAATAATAATATAACGCTTATATGAAGAATCGACGTTAATTCGATACGTAGAATACAGAATTCGCGCGTAATTAGTTGAATCGCATCATCACTCTCCGCAGCGGCGGCCGTGGATCCAACACGCTCTCAAATACACTCGAGTCGCATCAACTGCAACACCCGCAGATCCACGAAAGGTTCAACGAACTTAACGCGCTATATTATCGAACGTCAGTTTTTTTTCGCGCTATTATATCCGCTACGCCCGAGCCTTGCATCATCATCGTTCAAGTTTCATCTGGAGCAATCATCGCACCTTCACCTTCGCACTATGACCATGATCGAGAACCGCGTTACAATCTCGGCTTGTTATCTTCTTGTTCGCGCCGCGCGATCTCTCTTACTCGCCGAAACTCGACGAGAAAAAGCCCATGTTACGCGGGAACAGCGGCAGTCTACCGCTTGTTTTCTCCCAACTGCGTCCGGGTCGAGCACCTACCTAGCCGAGTCGTCATTGGGGACTCGACGCAGGCGCGCCGCAACGAGCAACCCTCTTCCCTTTCGTCGCAGCGATTCTACGTACCGTCAAAAGGGTGGCCGAGCCGGAACGGAGGGAGAGAGGTTGGTTCGTACATCCGTCGGATGGACGCTACGGCTGAACCCCCGAATGACGGTGATAGAGAGACCAGGATGACCGTCATCGGGGGAATAATCCCGCACAGTTTGGTTGATCGTGCTTCAGACTCCGGAGACGCCGATCGTTCCTGAAGTAACTGTAGATATCACAACGGTTAAGAGCTGAATACCTGCTCTTTCTAGGCCATATTTTTATGTCCATGTTTAGCGGAAGAGTCCATCAATCTCGTGGAGGAAATACAAAAAATTGCATTTTGTTTCTCTTTAATGTTTTATTATTATATAAATATAAAGTTATTGTAATTGTTAACGTATTATACATGACGCTTGTGTACAGGTCTGTACTACATTCATTCTATTTCTTCAGCACATATATTTGGTCAGCGAAATGCTTCATCATTTAATGAAATTATGAAAGATATTGAAATCAATTTAGGAGCAAGATTGCGATGTATAAAAGTGTATCTTGAGATCGCTGGTACTATCGCAATCATCTTAGGCTGATATTCATAATCAGTTCTTATTTTAAGATCGTCTTAAGTAATGTCTTAGGATGCTAATATGGCTTGGCTTATGACATCTTAAGACTGTACTTAAGACAATCTCAAATATAAAAATCGACTATGAATACTTTAGCTTTAGAGATATGATACAATTTTTTTCATGATTTTGCCAATTGCCGTTGCTGATCGGCAACAGTGGTCTCTCATGCACGGAATGGTTGGCGCGAGACTGATTCGGACCTCCAGACGATTTCGTTGATACAGCAGCATTGCTAGACCGACGCATGCGTGGGCGTCAGTTCCCATGGAAACCGGGGAACACGAGACACCGCGTGTGAATGCGTATTGATTACTCTCGCTCCGTTCCGCGATCTCCCGTATCTTCTCCGGGCCACCCCGGCCCATTCCTCTCTCTCTCTTTCTGTGTCCCATCCTGTTTCCACTCGGGAATACCCCTTAACGAGTGGCGGCCACCCTCCCCCCTTCCTCTTTTCTTTAAATTAGGCCCCTAATGTCCCGTCCCCAGCATCCACGGAATAGAATCGAGTTCTCTCTTTCATCGTAACTTGCCGGCCCTCGCGGGGGTCGTCGGTTCCGCTTAAATTAATGCTCGTGTCTCGTTCCGCTTTCTGCGGTTGATTGAATATCCGTACTCGACACAATTGTCGATGTACACGCGCTTTTCCATCATGCTCGAACGCTCGCGGGTAGAGGGTCGAGGAAACGCCCCTTTTTCAGTTTCAAATTTGGAATGTTTCTCAAGATTATAAAGTTTAGGATTATTCAGTTCCCAGAATTACAAGTAACGAAACAACTAATAAAAAGATAATTGATTAGCAATCAACTTGGCTATTACCTACGATCATAATGCTAATTATAAACGTTGAAAAGGTGAGAACACAAATGTAATAATCTGCACTATTATCATCGTTTTACAAGGACATCTCCGACATTCTGAACCGAGGATTTTTTTTCACTATTGCAAATATTTCGTAGTACAAGGTATAACAAGAACTAAAACATTGTTGGTATATTCGCATAATTTCAGTCAATTGGTCACACTAGCGGCTTCCACGGCGGAACAGATTGTCCTATTCACATTTCGCAATGGCAAAATTCGTTAAAGGAATGAAACAAAGGGAAATTGAAAATCGTTAATCCGATGAAATATTTCGAATCTAGTTGTTCTTTATTTACTTGCTCTCAAATTTATTTCTCGTGGATCAGATTTCTTGTCGTAAAGATCGTCTCAATTTTCTCTCGCTCTCTCACAAAATATATCAGAAGAAATTGAATTAAAAGAAATTGAGATTACATATTAAATTTTCACTGACTGAAAAAGAAGTAGACTTTCATGATGCGGAAAGGGCAAGAACCGTAACAAACATAAAGGGAAAGTAAAAAAAAACGGAAGAAGAATTATTCGAGTTTTATAATATATTTCCGCAAAAATAAAATTAATTGGACATTCATTATAAGAGAGAAAGTTGACTGAATGGGTTTCTTAAAGGGTCAAAACGAAACGTAAGGTGTTATAACTTAAGGCGTGAGTTAGATGATGTAATCCCGTCTCACGAATCTGTCGAATTTCGCAAGCAAATGATGAAAACAATAACGATGGGAAATCTTAATTAATGTGTTGGCGTGACAATTGTTGACTCATTCGCGACACTTTTATTTTCGCTAGCAGTCCTCTACTACTTGACGTTTGGTCACACTTTGTGACTTCAGGGACGCAGCCATTATGGTATTATTTTATGTAAAAATTACATGTTCTGCAATCATTTATGTTATGCAGCAAGAATAAAAGTAGAAATTATCAAATCGTTAGTCAGAATAAATACCTCATTATTTCATTTTGTTTCTAATTACTGTAATAAATATTTATAATTATTATAATCTATTCGCAAACACTTTTATATTATTATCTATTTTTATAGAGTTCGCATTAAATATGAATTTTAATGATCACTTTACTACTATTATTATTATTTATTGCACAATGTCCGTTTATTGTAAATAACTGTAATTATCTATAAAAATTATGTTATTTCTTTTAACTTAAACATTAAATAAATAAAAAGTATACATATATATATATATATATATATTAGCTGGGAAAAAGTTCGTGGCGTTTTTCCCGTTAGATGGCATTAAAAAAACGCCACGAACTTTTTCCCACACCTAATATATAAAACACGTACACTGGAAACCTCATTTAGTTGAATCAATTAATTTCTTGTTTGGATATGGGTAAACAAATTCTTGATTGATGCAATAAAATAATTTAGTTGGATCAACATTCGGCTATTGTAACATTTTACTTATTTCTAATAAACATTGACATCTGATAAGATTGTTTATCGGAAACAAATAAAATATTACAATAACTAAATGCTTTGCTTCAATTAAATTATTTTATTGTAATCAAGAATTTATTTGCCCATATTCAAACAAGAAATTAATTCAATTCATTTTACTAAATGGGTTTTTCAGTGTAAAATATATAAATAAAACCTGCTAAAGTAATAGACTTCTATAAAATTTTCGAGTAAACCCATTACTAAAAAAAAAAAAATATTAAAAAATATTAAAAAATATTTAAAAAAAGAGAGAAGAAAAACGTAAAGAGAGGATCTTTTGTTTTGCTATATTTTATAGATCTTACCGTAGGAAAGTTTTGGATTCGTCCCTGAGGGGTGAATACGCGACAGCATCCCATGCATGACCACTATATAAATAGGTGAAACTTGAGAAATTAGAGAGTCACTTTTGTGTTAGAACGAAAGCTCGTCGGACTTCTTGCAACATCGGAACTCGCATAGTACTTGATACTCGATATCCGGAACATTCTGAACTCGGGCAGCAAGTGAAATGCTCGCAACAATGACGCACGTTCTAATTCTCTCTGTCATTTTCGGTATTTGTTGTACGTTAGCGGAGAAAAGTGATAATACGACAACGACCGAAAATTCAAAGAATCTTTCCAATTCTAAAGACAAATTCTTGGCAAATGCCATTCATGGTAAAAACTTGTCGGAGCTTGCTCTGGATAACATTGACGTCGAAGAAACAAAAAAAACGGATAAGAAACCGAGAACCGTTTTACATCGCGACTCGAGTCTCGAAAGAGATAAGTATATTTTCAATCAATATATTTTCGATTAGATCATAGTTTTTGTTCTTAAACGTTAATCTTAAACGTTAATCTTAAACTTAAAACGTGATAAATAAAAAAAGTTTAATGACAGCTCGTCAACAACTCGGATTATTCGGAATATATTTGCAAGTTCCAGTTGCTGCAGTTCTAAATACAGTTCCAGTGGATTGGCACGACCGGATTATAATTACAACAGGATTCCTTCAGAGACTGGACGGTATTCCTCCCAATATAGCGAGCGTCAACCCATTGATAGGTAATAATAAAAGTTATCTTTCACATATGGAAATATTTTTAGAAAACGCAAAGTTTCCTTTCAGATACGGATGGCAAACGCAAGGTCGGCTCCCAGGTTCCATCGGAAACGGTGATAAGCCCGGAGGAAGCGGAAACGGAGTTTACGCAGGAAGTCAGTTGGGAGACAGGTAAATTTACCCAACTTCCCGCGATCATAAATTTTCCGCTAATCTCCGTCACCTTCTGTATTAACTCAAAGAAGACTTGAAAGAAAAAAGGAGAGGCAGGGACAGAAAGACGTCTCTTTGCTGAATTAACAAATTGTACACGAAAGATCACGTTTAAAAAAATTTTTTAATTTGTGAAAAAGGAAGAAGATCTTCCAATGTTAATTGCATTTTATGCATCAATTTTTATGAAAACAAAAAGGTATGGACCACGTCCAGCAAGTGAAACTGCTAATAGACCCATCACTTTGGGATATGGCTCGGGAAATGGTGGAGGATACAACTCGGGAAACGGTGGAGGATATGGCTTTATTGTTAATGGTTATGGAGGCTATGGTAGACCAATTGGACATGGAGGTTCGATCTATGGGATTTCGGGAACATTGGCCGATGGTGACGAATTCGGCCCAAGTGATGCGAATTATCCGGATGCAAGCACACCACAAGGAAATATTCAAGCACAAAAGGTGTATATTAGGAGAAGAACATTTTTCACCTAAAAATGGAAACGATCGAATAAATAAACAAAGAATTATATTTATTCATTAAGGCAATAGCATTAAAGGCTTTAGCAGGCGTTGCATTAATTGGGGCAGCAGCAGCGTTAGCTTCAAACCCTGTTCTTCTGCCAATCAGCTTCGTGTCTGGTAGAAGAAAAAGATCAGAGACTTTCACGGAGGAAGAGCAAGCCAACTTCCAAATGGATTACATTTTGTACATGTTGAGGGAAAATTTAGCTAAGGTACATAATCTCTCTTCACATAAAACCTAGGTAAATCTTGATAAAAATGATTCTTGTAATGTTATTAAGAATTTTTTATTATTTTAAATTTGTGAAGATTAAAAAAAAATATCTTAAACATTTTCAGATTTTATAATTTTTTAAATTATAGAATGAAAAACCTTAGAAAGAATATAGAATTTCTAAAGGGTTTCTATCTGTAAAAAAAAATGTGAGAAATTTTCTAAAAAGTTATAAAATTATTTATAGAAATTATGAAAAATTATGAAAAATTTTAAAATTTATTTAGAAATTCTGAAAAATTGTAAGAATTAATTCTAAGAAAAATTTGTACCGAGGAAGTGTTGCTTTTTATGGACAGATACAAAAAGATGGTTCAAGCAGCAGACTTGTGATTTCTCCAAGATGTGTCGCCAAGTTAACTTGCGAAATTCAGAAAGATTACTTGTCCGATGTCGGAAAAGACGTCGAGATCTTGAATACAAATCGGAGATATCATCTTAGCAATCTGTATGCAAGTTTTCTCAATATCTAAGTACCTCGCGGTATAAATTTGATCGATTAACTTACATTCTTGCAGAATACGAAATAATGTACTCAATACCAATACGGTGAGCACATCCATAAAGGACTTAATCAAGCTGGCTATCGACGTAGCATCGAAAAATAAAAACTGCGACGTGTTTACTTGTAATTACATAAGGAAAGCTTATAAGTAAGACTTATTGTAATCACACAATTTTATTATCACTCATTCAACTGTTTGATAAAGGAGGATGCACGCACGCAAAAAAATAAAATCTGTTTATACAATCATATAGTATAGCGATTTAAGAATCTGAAAGCGACTTCGATCAAATTAATCTCCAATTAATTTAATTAGTACTATTTTATTAATGCTCCCATTCCGATCAATGTTTAATTTTAACCTTGGTTTAATTAATTCTTCGAAGAATTAAAAAAAGATGAAGAGTAAGTTGAACCGAGATTAAAATTAACCTACATTGATAGAAACGGTCGATAAATATAATTAATACGAATAAAATTAATAGAATTACATTTAATGTATCAAAAAGAAAAAAAAAGATTGAAAACAACGAACTGTACATCATATACTAAAGATTTTCTTCAGCGATTCTTACCTATTTTAATGTAAATTATTTTTTATAATCTTGGCTTAATTCTTTATTCTTTTTTAATTCTTAAGACAATAATCCATTCTTATTTTAAAATCGTCTTAATAAAATAATAATAATACATTTTTCTAAGGTTCATAATATCTTAAGATTGTACATAAGATAGTCTTAAATGGTTGGATATAACAGAGCAATAGGAGTCAAACGGTAATTTGTGTGCAAATCAATAATAGTTAATAAAATAACTTTAATAATAATTAATTCGTTTACATGTTTCGACTCTCTTTTGAGGCATCCTCAGAAATATATATATAATATAATATAATAATATGATATAATTACAAAAAATTTTTTTACAAACTAATTCATTTCCGTGAGCCATCTATTAACGGAAACTACGATATAAAAACGAATTCTAATAACAATCTAAAATGTATTAAAATTATTAAAAGGTAAATTTATTGGGGTGAAGGGGTGGGAGCAAAAACGATTTATCGTAAAATAATAGAAGGTAGCTCACTAAAACAAAAATTCACCATATCGCAAATACTTAAATTCTATTGGTTTAGTCAAAAACCAGTCTTTGACTATTCAGTGGCAATTATGTTGAAATTCAGTTATGTTGAAATGAATAACTTTTAATAACCTAAAACCTAAAACGTTAATCGTAAAGAAAAAGGAAAAAGAAGAGAAAAAAAATTCTGATATTAGTCCAAATGGATATCAAAACTAAAAAACTGAATCTTTAATTATTTAATTTTAATATAACAAAGAATGTACACTGATCAGTCATTCTTTGTTATTAAATTAAATTATTAAGATTAAATTATTAAAGATTTAGATTTGATTTTGATGATATCCGTCTGGATTATAATTAATATCAGAGTTTTTTCTTTTTTTTTTTTCTTTATGAGCTACCTTCTATTATTTTACAATAAGTCGCTTTTGCTCCCAACAAATTTACCTTTTAATAATTTTAATACATTTTGTTATTAGAATTCGTTTTTATATTATAGTTTCTGTTAATAGGTGGAGGTGGCTCACTGAAATAAATTAGTTGTAAAAAATGTTTGTAAAAAAATTTTTTGTAATTACAACATCATATTGTCTCTGAGGATGGCTCAAAAATGAGCCGAAACATGTAAGCGGATTAATTATTATTATAGTTGTTTTGTTAGCCGTATTGGTTTGCACAAGAATTACTGTGTTTAACTCCTATTGTCCTGCTATCCAATCATTTTGAATCATAAAGGATTCTTTAGGAATTAATTTATATATATATAGTCTTAACAAGAATTAAATCTATAATTTATAAATTCTGATACTATAAATCCTGACTACCCTTTCTATCAATGCAAAAATTAACTTTTATTTTTATTACCTACCTTTCATTTTTTTTTATTTCTAAAAATCAGAAAAAAGAATAATAAAGAGAATAAATTAAACTGAGATTAAAGATAATCTACATTGGTAGAAATGAACATTAGAATTAGGAAAAGGTAAAAAGTAATAAATCCTGACTACTTGTTTCTATCAATGCAGATTAACTTTTATTTTTGTTATCTACTTTTCATTTTTTTTTATTTCTAAAAATTAGAAAAAAAATAATAAAGAGAGTAAATTAAAAGAGATTAAAAGTAATCTACATTAGTAGAAATGGACATTAGAACTAGAAAAAGTTGAAAAGTTAAACTAGGAGAATTAATCTATATTGGTAGGAACAGATATTTATTTTGATTAAATTAATCGTCGATTGAATTAATCAGAACTTAGTCGAAGTCATCCCTAAAGCTTTATTTGATCTTCCCTCCATGAATTATTTCACGCGAGGTGGCGCTTCAATACTTCGTCTGCCGTCTGGCACGCACGTGACGTTGCACAGAAAAAAACAAAGTATAACTGACGTGTCCTAATAAAAGACAACGTGGCAACGCGACAGTGTTTGCTGTGTTTGGAGTTTTTATCCTCGTGTTGTTCTCGCTTTGGTTCTTATACATTTCCGTCGTCGCAATGTCGATATAAAGAGAAAAGTGAAAGACTGAATTTCACATTAGAAACTGTCGTTTCGGCATTTAATTTCTTTTTTAATTGGCTGTGACGGCAGCGAAAGGTTATGTACCCGCAATGATCGCGTCGTCAGTAACGACTTGACGTCGATTAGCGTGAGTGTCACTCGCTCGTTCACCGTCGCTTCTCTGAGAATTTGATCGTCGTCGATGCGATCCCACGTTGCGCGCGTCCATTCGTCCACGATATGCGGTGACAAGTGAAGATTCTAACCTAATCGGTGATTAACCTTGAAAGTCACTCAGCGGTGCGTGAACGTGGCACGAGCGTGAATATTCGTTGCTGACTCACTCGTATGGATGTTAATATGAGGAGGAAACTTGACAAGGAGGATCGCTCTACGGAGGATGGCATCGTCGATTCGAGTAGCAGTCAAGAACCCTCTGATTTACGAGGGGATGAGAAGAATATTGCGATTTTATTCTTCTTGTACCTGCTGCAGGGTATCCCATTGGGATTATGCGGCTCCATCCCCATGCTGTTGCAGAACAGAGGGGTTTCCTATCGACAACAGGTATGTGAAAGCTTTCTTCCACAATTATCCTGTCAATTGTAAATAAAAAATTTGTATTGTTAAGGTGCTTTTTGAAAAGAGACACAAATACATACATACAACATAGTAAATCATTATATCCTATTATATTGTTGTTTACTAATGTTGAACAAAGATGAACAAAGATGATAATACTGTAACATCTCTTGTTAAAAAGTACCTTGAGTAATGTTAAGATATCTAGATAATTTCCTTGATATTTGTTAAAAATTTTTTACTAATGCCATATTGAACATTTATCGTGTAATAATATATGAAATGTTCCTAAGATATTTATAGTCTAATTTTATATATTTAAGATTGTCTTAAATTTTATTTAAAGTATTCATAATCTGTTCTTATTTCAAGACTATAATGTCTTAAGAAGCTAATATGTGGCCTAATTAAGAGGCTAATTATGATTAGTATTTATAGTTAATTCTTATGTTTAAGTCCGTTTTAAGTACAATCCGTTTTAAATACAGTAAAATCTTAAAATGTTAATTATAGAACTGTATCAGCATCTTAAGATGTTACTTAAGATGGTCTTGAAATAAGAACCAATTATGAATATCGACCTGTGACATTTGATGACATTTTAAGACTAGATTTTAAAACATTTTAAAACAGTCTTAAATATAAGAATCGATTATAAATACTGGCTTGTATGATTGATTTATGACACCTTAAAACTTAAGATTTTAAATATAAAAATCGAATACCAGCGATATTTTGTTCTTTTATTTCAAGTCTTAAGTAATATATTAACATATATATTGCTCTTTGATTGGTTCATGACATCTCAAATCTGCATTTAAAATAATCTTAAATATAAGTATTAACTATGAATATCAGCCATAGTCGATTTTTATATTTGAGACTGTCTTAGATAGTTTAAGATACCATAAACTAGTTGTATTAGCATCTTAAGACATTACTTTAAGATAAAATAAGAATGGATTATGAATATCATCTTTAAAGTAATATTGAATATAAGATTGGATTTTGAATATTGTGGAACCTATTTGATCAAATAAGATGAATATATATATAT